CACAGATCTCGCTACCTTCCGTCCTCGTAGCCTGTTCAACCTTTCTAAGACTCGCACCCTGCAGCTTTGCTGGTAGTTGTGGTTGACATTCGCCAGGGAAATAGTTTTGTGTGTGTTTTGCAAGGCAACAGGTCAAAAAGAGCGGCAAGTATGTTGTGAGTGAGTGGTTTGATATTTTAAGCTTATTGTTAGCAGCCTTTGAATCTAACTTAAGAGTCGAGTGTGCAACAAGAGATGTAAAGATAGAATTGGAGAGGGAGATTGATTGACTTTCACAAGAGGATGCCAAACAAAAATCAAGCGACGCCCCAACAGGGCCCAACATCAATGTGGAGGAGGAAAGCAAGTAGTTCAAAAAGTGAAGAGGAAAGCAAGTATATAGGTGGCAGTGCTGTAGCAGTATACATTTATTCGTCAAAAGGCGTTTCTAGTCGATGTCGTGATAGTTCAACAGTATGTCCGTAGGCATTTCAACGTAGGACTACTATGCTCCTTGAATGAGAAAAAAAGGGGATGAAAAAAGGAAAGGATTGAGACCGATCCTTTCTCGTTCACCGTTGACTTGGCAGGTCCATTGCTTTCACTACTTCTCCCTTGGGAAGTCGCAAAACCTGGTGGGAGAGATGAAGGGCGAAATCACAGGGTGCTCCCTTCACGGATTCTTGTCTCACCACCGTGACCTGATCTTCGATTCTGTGCTGTCCAGGGACTATGCACTGCGAAAGCATGGCCTTCCAAACATATGGAGTTTCCTGACCGATGGCGGCTTCGCGTTGGCCTGAGACAGGACGCAACTCTGACTGGACATGACCAGACGAAGGTCAGAAACAAGGTTGCACTGGTACTTGTAATGATAATAAAATGCAAGAAAAGGAAAGGCTTCTTGATTTGAGAGTGCAGTGCGTGGTGTATTCACGTCGCTTCGCGATGGTAACCGCCCGCACCGCATGGGAGGGCTCAAAGACTGCAGTCATGCTCCAGGAACGGGTCAAGGTAGGTACTTCCATTGAACATAGCCCCAGAAGTCACCCCCCCCCCCCAACGTGGCCGAACATAGCTTCCATATTGCCTAACATAGCGCTAGAATGTGGGAACGTCGCAAATTGGTGTATCTTTTCCGCAGGTAGCTCGAGACGTTCGCCGGATATTTGGCTCAACAGGAGCAGAGATAAGGAACGGTAACATTTTCTAATGAGGGCTCAAAAGGGACTGGAATAAAGTAAAGATATTGCCTAACATAGCTCTAAAAGTCACTATCTAAAGGACGTGTCTGCGAGATAGGGACGTGAACGTCGTAAACATAGCCCAACGAGGGCTCAAAAGGGACTGGAACAAATACCCCCCCTAACGTGACCAAACATAGCTTTTTCCAGGAACGGTAAGATTTTATCACGAGCATAGCTTGCATATGGTCGAACATAGCCCCAGAAGTCACTATCTCAAGCATGCTTCCTCGAGATAGGGACTTGAACGAGGGCTCAAAATGGACTGGAATAAATTCAAGATTGCCTAACATAGCCCTAGAAGTCACTATGGTCACGGAACAGGTGCCGTTGGTAGAGTTCGTTGGAGTCAGAGTGCTTTTTCAAGTGATCGTGGTTGTGGGGTTAAAAGACGGGTCGGGTAAGTGGTTACACCATGGGGCCCCCCTAGTTAAAGAACTTATAACTTAAGATACCACACTTAAAAAAGTTATAAGTTAGTTATATTGAACTTATCATAACTTAGTTATACGTAAAGTTGCGGAAGTTACTAACTGCTGTAACTAGTTTGAGCGTGAAAGATGATGAAATCTTTGCAAAAATGAAACTGTGTGCAAAAAACTTGCAAAACATAATTTTTCTCAAAAAACATAACAAAAACCTTAGAAAAATGACTACCGCCTAATGTTTCTATGCGTGCGGCATTCCGCATCAATGTATGTGTGTGGGCGGAATACCGCCAAAATGTGTGCGTGTGTCCGTGTTGTGATGTGGGCGGAATGCCGCCAAACGAACAAACCGCAACAAGGCGGAATGCCGCCAAACAAACAAACAATCAAAGAACGGTCATATATATTTATTTATATACATATATATATATAGGCGGAATGCCGCCAAACTTAAAGAACAATCATAAAGGCGGAACGCCGCCGCAAAAGAACAGCCATATAGGCGGAATGCCGCCAAACAAAGAACAGGTTAATACCTCTCTAAGGTACAAAATCAAAACATCCAAAATCGGAAACCCAGATACCACCGGATACCACCCAGATACGACCGGATACCACCGGATACCACCCGGATACCAACGGATACCGGCCGGATACCGCCCGGATACCACCGGATACCACCCGGATACCGCCGGATACCGCCCGGATACTACCGGATACCACCCGGATACCACCGGATACCACCCGGATACCGCCCGGATACCACCGGATACCACCCGGATACCACCGGATACCACCCGGATACCACCGGATACCACACGGATACCACCGGATACCACCCGGATACCAGCGGATACCACCCGGATACCACTTGTATATTTTTTGGCCTGGGCAGATGTAAAGACGGTACCAAAGCCTCTGGGAATCAAAGGGCTGATGCTAGAGCCGCGATGTTGCTGGAACGTGCGGCTGGGCCGCGTGCGGGGACCGCAAGGTTCCTGCGGCTTGCCGCATACGCAACATCCCTGCTCAACAAACAGCAAAAACAAACAACGTCGTGGAAACAGCTACGCAAACTCACGTCAACAAGTGCATGAACAGATCTTTCAATACAAAAATAGAGAAAACAGGTTCCTGCGGCTTGCCGTATACACAACTTCCCTGCTCAACAACACAAAAAACAAGGAACACGGAAACCTCTATGCAAACCCACGTCAACGACTACATGAGCTTACAGCATCAAAAAAATCAATGTTTTCATTAAAAATATAGGAAAAACAGGTCCTGGGCATCATTTTTTCAGACATGTGAAAAAAGATGATTTTCAGACATAAAAAACTAACTTCCGTAACTTTTTTTTAACTTACCGTGGTCCTTACTTACAACTAAGTTATAACTAACCATCTAAGATGTAACTTACATAGAACTACCGGTGAGACTTAATTTAGTTACACCAAGTTACAACAAGTTAAAACCATAGTTACACCAAGTTAAAACCATACATAGGATACTTACAAGTAGTCTAACTAGGGGGGCCCCTTGGTGTAGAGAGCTTCCGGAAGTGACACGATCTGGAACGGGTACTTGTGCTCTTGGAGCCAAGGAATGCAGTATGAAACGAACATGGCCGACGATATCATGTTAGAATACATGCAATGGAAACAGCGTGGGATGGTTGATCATGGCAGGGTTCGTTTTAGTCACAGTGCCTTTTCAAGCAATCTCTTTACTTTATTCCAGTCCCTTTTGAGCCCTCGTTGGGCCATGTTTTGCGTTCAAGTCCCTATCTCGCAGACACGTCCGTTAGATAGTGACTTCTAGGGCTATGTTAGGCAATGTGGAAGCTATGTTGAGCCACGTTAGGGGAGCCCAATGTCCGGCCTCAGTCCAATTGCACTTTACCGCGCAGATGATTCAAATCATGCAAAGGAAGAAAATGGCATTTCTTGCATCACCAGGGGCTTCAAAATAGCACGAATTCATCTTCCAGCATTTTAAGCTGGTTCCAAAAACGTGAAAAAGCACAGGATTCTAGAGCGAAAATGCCCCCCCCCCTAGCTAAAGCTATTGGCTTGCATATGCTAGCTTACGTATAGCGCGTGCCCTATAAAAACGCCTCGGCACCTTCGGTGCGGGCGGATTTTGTTTGCTTTTGGAAGTTGAGGTTGGAGACCAGACTGCAAAGCCTGAGGAGTCTTGAGTGGAAGAGTCGCTTCATAGTGAGTGGGGTTCTGCAGGGCAACTCCATGTCAAGCAATAGTCTTTGGTTGTTTGTGGGGAATTGTTGTTTCATGTTTGATGGGTACAAACTTATGAGTTTGCAAGAAGTTTGAAATCAGTCATTGTTTGTTCTTGTGCTTGAATTCAGCGTTTCACCGCTGCGATGTGCGAAGAGGGTTTCCACTCCTTTTGGAAAGTCACATCACAGTAGGCGCGTTCAGCTGGTTGGCTTGTTCTTAGCTTGTAGCAGCAGCAGCGGCAGCCATCGTTCTTCAGGCAGTAAATTACTGCTGGAAGAATATGTCAATGAATTGTATATCCTCGCTCCCTTTGCGAGAGCTCTTGAGCACATCATAGATGGCCAAAAGCAAGTTAAATGCATTTGCACTGAATGCCTGCCTCTGCCACTACCCAATCAAGCAGATATGAGTTTTCGCGCAGTCAGACAAGTGCCCAATTGACGTCAAAAGGATATTGGTAAGGATGTTGGTGGCTAAACTTAACAGTTCGGAAGCCTGCAAGTGAAGAGTATTTCCAAATAGTTTTTTTATGTTTTTGTTCACTTTGGATATAATCTGGGTTTACAGTTTTATTACACTTTTTTACGAAGCGGCAATTGGCTTATGCGGTACTGTTGGGTGCTCACTGTGCCCTTCCTGTGACCATGCAGCCGCCCTGGAAGATCTCAAGGATCCGATTTTGGGGCTCCTCTTCAATATTCCTGGTTGGGTGTTTTACGTGGGTTTGGGGGTACTTGTGAGGAGGGCCCAGGGCCTAGGGCGGGGCATGTGATGGCAGTCCCCTAGAGGCCCGACACCAGACCCACACCCTTGTGCAAAGTGTATTCTTCCCCATAAACAAAACCTGGAGCTCTGGAGCCACCGTATGTTGTTTGTAAAAAAGACATATTATATAAATCCATATTGTTTGTTGGAGAAGGGTGCACATCATACGTATAAAAACCATAAAACACACGGTTTTAATGGTATTTTTATGATTTATACCCTTCTCCAACTGTTCAACCCATAAACCTATCAATCTGCCCAAACCAGTAAAAAATATAAACACACTGTGTTTTATGATTTGTTTTTTGCTGCAGTCACGGCATTCCTCATGAGAGTTCGAAAGCATGTTCACATGGCAGATCCATAGCTGCCTTTTTATGCACAAGTGAAGACCAAGAGGTCCGCGAAAAAGCCCTGTTTTGCGTGCGGTGCGAGGGTCGAGAAGGGATCGTCAGTTCGCTCGTACATCAGGTTATGAGCCCAACTGTTGGGATCCCTGCGCCATGTCGATGAACCCTGGCCCAGCGCCGCCTAGAAGATGAAGCTCGGCACTCTGGTGAACTCCCTATAGAGGATGCGGAGGTTGTTGGAAAAGAAGGTGAGAGGGAAACAGGGAAGAAAGATGAAGTTCCCCCAAAGACCCCCTCAACTGCTGTTCCGACGGCGCCAGATGGAAGCCGTTCGAAGGTCACTGACTCAGCTGGAGGACGCACGCCTGAAGTGAAGGGTCCAAAGCCTGCCAGCAGCTCACAGGTGAGACTGAAGACGCCAAAAGATGAAAGACCAAAGCCTACGTTGGGCCGAGGAGAAGCAGGCGAAGGGAAGCAGCGGGGACAGGGGGAGAGAGAAGGGGAAGGAGCACTGGCCATCGAAGAAGCTGGTGTCGAGACCCACACAATTTCTACTCCACCTGATGCCGCCACATGCCAACCCCTGTTCACTCCAGCGCAGTTGCAAGACTTGCGCAACGTGTATGACCAAGCACCATGGTTGTACAGCCGGTTTCAAACACCTCAAACCTCCATGCCACCCAGACCTACCTTCCTCCGCGATGAAGAGGGAAGGCATGAAAGTGTCCGGGGAAGTGAAAAGGAGTTGAGAAGGTTTGAAGAATGGAAAAGACTGAAGGAGTTGAAAGAATATGAGAATGAAGAGCGAGAGGAAATGTCTCGCCAAATTCAAGAGTTGCTCCAGGAGAATCGTCGCTTGAAAGATCAAGCTACTGGCATCTACCCCGTGTTGAAGGCCCGTGATCATGCCGAAGCCTCGATTCGCCGCCGTATGGCGGATATCCTGGATGAGAATCGAACCTTGAAGCAGGATCTGCAAAGGATCACTACTGCTTTACATGAAAGAAAAGAAGAAGAACAAGTGTTTGCCACTCCAAATGGCAGTGCTGAGTTGAGTTCCTCAGTTCCACCCTCTTGGAATCAGCCTTGTGAACAACGACCTGAAGCGAGGCCCGAAGATCTTCATGAAGAAGAAGAAGAAGAAGCGACCTGCGGCTTCGACAGGCCTGCGGCAAGGTCTGGGAAGGGAAAGGGAACACGGAAAAAGAAAGAAGAGCCGGTCCCTGAAGACCCGCAACAACAGACAATGGCCATCATCTTGAAGCTCATGGAGGGCATGCAGTCGCTTCAAAAACAGATGATAAAGGGCCACCGTGAAGAAGATTCAAAAGAGGCTGAAGTCGTTCGAACGTCAGTCGAAGTTCCAAAATTGGCCGAATGGAATCAGGAGTCAGCACCAATAGACTATGCTGATTGGCTCCTCCTGCTGCAGCCCATCATGGCCGACCTCAGTGAGAGCAGTGAAGCTTGGTGGGAAGAGACCTTGAGAACTGCAAAAGAATGGTACTCTCAACACATGGCCAAGACACCCTTGGATCGGTTGAGCCATGCCCCAAAGCCTTCATCTACGATGGCACAGAAGCGTTGGTCGAGATTGGAAAAGAGGGCTTCCGCACTTCTCCTTTCAGCCATCCCAGAGACGCTGAGAGAAGAGGTGGTCGCTGCGAAGAACATCACGACCCTGGGCATCCTGGCGAAAGGCATGGTCCAATATCAACCGGGAGGATTGGCCGAACGACAGGCCATTCTATCGGCTCTTGAGGCACCACAAGAAGCCTCGACGGTTGGAGCAGCCATTGGCACCTTGCGGAGGTGGTTGCGGTGGAAAAGAAGGGCAGAAGAAATGGGGGTCTCGGTGCCAGATCCAACAATACTGGCACGTGGGCTCACTCGTTTGGTTCGCAAGTTGCTTGGAGCTCATCCAGAGTTGCAATTCAAGCTACAATTGGCCCGCAGTGCACTCTCGGTCGATTCCATTCCGACCTATGACGGCATTGCAAAGTATGCGGAGCACTTGATGGCAGAGCTTGAACAGGTGAATCACCAAGCACGAAAGAAAGAACCTCAGCCTCCCGAACCTCCGAAGCTGAAGCGCTTTGAGGAGCAGAGGGATCAGAAAGAAGGTAAAGAAAGAAAGGAAGAAAGTGAGAAAGAAAAGGAGCGAGAGAAGCCGAAGTGCAAGTTTTACCTCTCCGACCAAGGTTGCAAAAGAGGCAAGAGCTGCGGCTTCTCGCATGACCAACGTGATGAAAGAAGAAGATGCTGGAACTGTGGAGGGACAGACCATATGTCACCAGCATGCACAAGACCCAAAGAGATTAAGGAAAGCGCCCCAAAAGCAAAGACTGCAAGAAAAGAAAAGGAGAAAGGAGAGGGGGAGCGGAGTGAAGATGCGGGGAAGGGAACACCTTCTCTCAATGACCTTCTGAAGGAAGCCAATGACATGTTGAAAAGCATGCACTCGCAGCAATCTCCGTCCTCATCGACGACATCGTCTCCTACATCGACGGCACCCCCGGATCAAGAGCGGAAAGAAGTGATGGAGCGACTTCAACAGCAGCTCAACATGATGAAACAAAAGACTTTCAGGCTGAGACGACTCCAAAAAGGTCAGAGGGATGGTCTTCTGCAACTCACCCGCTCAGGCCTTTGAAAGATGGAGAAAATGCGGAGATGTACAAGAAGGTACAAGTCTCCCTTGCTGATGGACAAGTCACTACCCTGGCCATAAGCCCAGGGGGAGCAATGATCTCAGAAGACAAAGACATCGAGCCTATCATTGTGATGGGACAGTTGGCGGAAACTTTGGGCTGCACGATCAGCTGGTCGCGTGGTCACATCCAGGTCGAACACCCTGAGCTTGGATTGCTGCCGGTTGAAGACAAAGAGGGATGCCCACAGGTCCCTCTTCGACTGGCTTTGCAGCTGATTGAAGAGTTGGAGCTTGTGAAAAAGGGGATGAAGTTCCATGAAACGGATGAGTTTGAAGCTGAAGTTCAATGGATGCACCAACTGGTGAATACCCATCCTGTTCTCTCTCAGCTTCCGCTCCATGTCAAGGAGAAGTTGGTGGTGACGCCTTCAAGCTGGTCCACACTTCCAGCCAACAGAAGGAAAAGAAGAAGCATGCGAAAGAATGGATTTGTCTGCCACCTCTATGCAGGTGAAAGTGAAGGCTTCACGCTTGAAAGAGCGTGGAAACAAGCTGGAGGAAAAGAAGCTGAGTTGCTTGAAGTGGATTTGAAAAGAGGAGAAGGTCACGATATGCTGAAGGCTGACGGGCCTTACAGTGGTTTGGTGAGGTCTGTCCTAGAGGACAAACTGCTGGGTCTTGTTGGAGGCCCAAATTGCCGCACCAGATCTGTTCTTCGACACTTTCCCTTGGAAGCTGAAGGTGCACCTCGGCCGATCAGGCGTTGGGGAGGAGAGGAGAATGGAGTCAAGGATTTGACCGAAGATGAAAGACAAAAGATTGAAGATGATGATGTGTTGCTATGGAGGATGGTCTTCCTACAGATGTTGGCGACCTATTTGAGAAGGGCACGGGGCATCCACAATGAAGTTTCCTTTGCATTGGAGCAACCAGCCTCGCCGAAAGCCTATATGCCCGAGGTCGTCAGTTTTTGGGGCACGGAGGAATGGAAGAAAGTGAAGGAAGAGTTTGGTTGGGAGGAGGTCACCTTTCAACAGAAGCCGCTAGGAGGTGCTGTCTGCAAGCCGACCACATTTGCAGGCAACATGGAGCTGATCCCTGAAAACTTCAGGATGAAAAGTGAAGGAAAGACCAAAGTGAAAGGCTCATGGGAGCTAGCTCGTTGGGCGCCTGGCATCATGAACATGTTGGCACAGGCATTGCTCAAGACTTCGTTCAACCGCTCACCTCAACTCAAAGTGCTCTCATGGGAAGAAAGTGTTTTGTTTGGCCACACACCAGCAAGACGAGATTGCCGTGTTTGCCAGGAAAACCAACAAGGCTCTCCACACCGAAGGGTCAAACGACCGCTAGCCGGAGTTTTGTCATTGGACACTGCAGGTCCCCTGGTTCCCGCCTATGACCAAGGGGGACATGTCGCTCGCTACGTCCTTGTGGGGTCACTGACATGGGCAGTTCCAAAAGGAAGAACAGATGAAGTTCAAGATGAAGAGATCCTTGAGGAAGAAATGGTGGACATCGAACCACAAAAGGAAGATGAAGAGAAAGAAAAAGAGGGAGGAGAGCCGGTAGAAGAAGAACCTGAGAAAGAAGACCTTGAGGATGAAGCTCCCCGTGGAGGTCTTTCCGAAGCAGAAGAAGCTGAAGGAAGAGATCTGGTGCTGGGAGATGATGGAAACTTTGAGATCCGTCCGGAGTCACAAGAGGAAGGATTGGAAGACTATGACATTCGTGTCTTCAGGATGGCAGTTCCAATGCACAACAAGAAGTCAAAAGAAGTCACTCGCACGACCATGGAACTCGTGTTGAGACTCTGCATGGACGGCTACGCCGTCAACCGGATTCACACAGATCGAGGACGTGAATTTTCCGGTCATTTTTTGGACTGGACAAGAAGAAGGGGAATAATGGTGACCAAAACTGCCGGGGACGAACCTCAGGCCAACGGAAGGGCCGAGCAGACCGTGAAGGTCGTGAAAAATATGGTGAGGAAGATCCTATGTCAAGCAGGCGAAACAGCGAAGCGGTGGCCCTGGGCCCTTCGACACTGCAACGAGGTGTTGAGGAGCCATAGAACCTACCAAAGACCTGACTTCCCACCGTTTATGCAAGAAGTTTTGGTTCGCCGAAGACGATGGAAGCGGGATGATTTTTCCCCTTCCATGGAAAAGGTGAGGTATCTGGCTCCATCTCCTGAGAACCACGGTCACTGGATCTGGAAGGATGGCGAATCTCCACGGCTCACAAGGTGCATTGTTCGAAAGATCGACTCGGCGCCAGAAGAAAGTCATTGGGTCGCCATGGAAAGGGAGCTTTTAGACGGCCTCTCCATAAGAAGAAGGCTGAGAGAGAAAACTGCAGTAAAGACAATACAAGGAAGATGCGAAGATGAAGAAAAGAAGACGCAGGAAAGGAAGCAGATGAAAAAGGTGATCGCTGGGCCTGTGAGGACTACCCACAAATGGCGATGGAGGCACTTCGAATTGTGGAACGCCTCAGAAAGATCACTGAAAAGGTTGATGATGAAGAAGAAGAAATCTTGCAAACCAAGATCGTGTCAGTGAAGGAGGTGGCTGCAGAATGGGAGAAATGGATTCCCTCGGCTCAGAATGAGATAGACTCCCTGATCATCGAAAAGGCAGCCCTCAGGCCTCTAGAGGACTGGTGTTCACAAAGAAGCCAGGAAAAGGAAAAAGAAAGGTCCGCTGGGTTGTTTGCGGAAACTTTGAAGCGAAGTCACCCGATGAAGAGAGCACCTACTCCTCAGGCGCAGATGCCACGGCCTTCCGCATCATGTGCTGGCTTGCAGCTCAGCATCAATGGCAAGGTTACGTGATAGATGTCAAAACTGCTTTTTTGAACGCATCGATGTCGGCCAATGAAGAGTCACAATTGCTCCTTGTTGCACCACCAGTACTGCTGGTGGAGAAAGGGCTCCTTCAAAAGGGAGTGATGTATGTGCCAGAGAAGGCTATCTATGGCCTTCGCAGATCACCTCGTCTATGGGGAGATCACCGTGATCGGATGTTGGAAGAAATGGAAGTGTCCGTTGAAGAAGAAGGAAAAGTGAAGATCCTGAAGCTGGAAGCTTTGGCCTCAGAGCAGAATCTCTGGCGAATTCTCTCTCAAGAAGAGGAGCTTCAAGGACTGCTGATGACATATGTCGATGACATTTTTGTCGTTGGAAGCTCTTCGGTCGCCACTGCTATGGTCCAACGGCTCCAGCAGACATGGACTACTTCGCCGCCAGAGCGTGTGGCCCAAAATGGAGTCAAGTTGCTTGGAATGGAAGTGAAAGTGCTGAAGGGGGGATGAAGGCCTCAATGAGTGGCACATCTCACAAAGGTCATATTTGACCGAGCTCCTTGGAGGACAAGACCCTCCTATCAAACCCAAGAAGCTGCCCATCACAAAAGATCAAGCAGTCATGCCAAAAGATGAAGGCCTGACCGATCCTGAATCAGTTCGGATGGCTCAGAAGATAGTGGGCGAATTGCTTTGGGTGGTGACCAGAACAAGGCCTGATGTGATGTTCAGTGTCTCAAGAATGGCATCCAGCGTTCTCAGTGGAACCCAAGCGGTGAAGGAGGCTGGAGCTCAAACGAAGGCATACCTATAGGGCACAAAAGAACAGGGCCTTTGCTTCAAGAAAGAAGATGAAGAAGAATGGATGATCCATGTATATACGGATGCGAGTTTTGCTCCGTATGGAGATGAAAGCCACGGTTGCACCATCGTGGCTGTTGGCCAAAGCCCTTTGTTCTGGCGGGCAGGCAAGCAAAGCACAATAGCCTTGTCCACGGCTGAAAGTGAGCTCAATGAAATCATCGAGGGCATGATCGCCGGTGAATCAGTGGGCGTGGTGCTCGAGGAGTTGGTTGGCCCTAGAGCTCATATGAGCTGGACTGACAGCCAAAGTGGACTATCCATCATGACCAACGAAGGTGGATCATGGAGAACTCGTCACCTTCGAACAAGGGCGGTATACGCCAGGCAGGCGATCCAGCTTGGATCATGGAGCATCGGCCACATTCCAGGTGAAGTGATGGTCGCCGATATCGGCGCAAAGGCCTTGTCTGCTCCAAGGCTGGAAAGCTTGAAAACGAGGCTGAACATCAAGGCCCCGAATGAAGAAGAAGAAGAAAAGAAAGAAGCTGAGGTTGAAAACAGCGAAAAAAAGGAAGTGAAGCTCCCACAAGAAGGTGAGAAGGAGAAAGTCCAAGGAGATGTGAAGAAGGCGGCAGCCATAGTCCGAGCTTTGATGATCGTGGCATCGATCAAGGCCGCCAACGGACAGGATGAAGAAATGGAAGAAGAAGGAAATGTGTTGAGCTGGGTGGTGATGATGTATACCCTGGTGGTGATGGTCGTGACGATTTTGGTTTGGCTGTGTCTGAAGGAGGGAGTAGCTCTGGTCAACCGCCGATCGTCAAGCGATCATGAGTGGGACGAGCGAAGTCCTCCCAGAACGCCAAAAAGAAGACCAGACACAACCACCAGGAAGAAGTCACCCAGCGAAAGCCGAAAAGAAGATGAGATTGAAAGGCCACCTTATCTTCCCACTCCAACTCAGTCTCCGTTACCACCTTCTCCACACCCAACTCCGTCTTCTGTGCCATACACTCCAACTCAGACTTCAGGAACACCGGTGATGGTCTGGGCACAACCCGTCATTCTACCACCAAACATGCCTGAATTACCCAGTTGGAATCAACATCCAACTGAGGCCGCAGAACGACAGATGCAGTCGAAAGGAAAGAAAGGAAAGGGAAAAGGGCTCATAGAAGAAGGAAAAGGAAACAGAGCAGCAGCAGCATCAAGCACAGAAGCTCCACAGTCAGCCTCCCAGCGACAAATGGGAGAAAGATCCCGGGCACCACAGCCCGATCCACCTGATGAGGCACAAGGCTTTCCAGTCTTTACAACGAAGTTTGGAAAGGCCTACCACCGAAGAAGAAGTTGTGAATACCTGACTGCTCGCCGGACAGGCGAGGCAAGGC